CTCCATAGTTTATTCTTCATCTCCAAAGTTAAGATATTCAAGTAATAAATTCTACTAAAGTTGATAAGCATGTAACTATGAAGTTTCAATTTTAAGTCATAGCTTCGTAGGTTGTTTTTCATGTCTAACATTAGGATTTTTAATCAGAAATTATTCGATAGTTAGTAATGATATTTTTTATACTACATTTAAATAATGATTGTATAATTTATGTGTCATCTTTTAAGATGTCATTTTTCAAGTGACAAAGTTGTTCTTAGATGGGTAATATTCTATCTCTCTTGTTTACAATAGAGCTTGGATCTTTGTTAATTTTTTTTGTTCTTAATGAGACGAAGGATATATTTTTAATGAGAATGTGATCACGAATCCAAGAAAAATAAATAATCGTATAACTGACATAAACCAAATATAAGATAAAACAAATCTTTTTAATAAGAGTTCAACAATTGTAGATGAAAAAACAAAACATTTTTTTGATATAAAACATTCAACCATAAAATCATAGTCACTGCTTTGTAGAATGGGTGTGGGTGTCCGTGCATGGGTGGGTCTTTCCTTCAATGACACCCATACTCACACCGACATTCACCCACATCCACATTCATATATAGCTGAAATGACTTCAAGGCTGATTATGGATTATTTAATCGATGGATTCAAATATTTATCTAGTGTGTCACTTTATTGTCATGGACTTTCGTCTGAAACAGTTCGAGAATTTTTTCAAAATCCGATGCTAGCTTTCACTACTTCAAGTCGACTAGTAAATGGTACATATGCTTGTCGACTCATTTCTCCATATTTCGATTCTGTCAATATTTATGGATGTAGGTGTGGTAGATGAGAAAGGAAAAAGTCACACCCGCAAACACCTACATCCGCCACACCCACACAGCTACACTCGTCACATCCACACACACACCCATTTGCTTCCTCATCAAGACACCATCGCCTCACACACGTTCAATAAACATTAAATTGGAGTGTATCTTTCTTTAAGGTAAACTTTACATAAAGGACGGAGATAAAAAATCAACATTTTCTTATTCATCTGGTCATATTTACTAATTGAGATAAAACACTTGTGCTTTCTCCTTGCTTATAAGATGATGCATTTTTTGTTTCACTGTGTTGATATCGGCCAATTCGACACAGTTAAACATTTAAAATGCTTCAAAGTACAACATACATAACAATGTTTATTGCCGAGTTTCTTTTGCAAAAGAAAATAGTTCTTTCAATATCCAATAAGCGCATATTATTATTTAATGCGTGGTTTTTTTCTACTTTAGATTTCTGCTCATTGAGAAATACAAAAGAAAACAAAGAATAATTGTCAATTACAACAGTTCCATTGCTCAAGAAAAGTAAGGCAACAAGTAAAATTGAAACTTAATTTATGGACCTCATTCAAATGATGTTTATTAATAATATATCACTATTATAAGTTCTTCTTAGGATTCTGTTTATATTTGCCCGTCAATTAAAATGAAACATCTTGATGAATGGGAAAAAACTCAAGGATAGAATGAGAAGAGTCAGATTCAAAACTGAAACCACTTAATTGTAAACAAGTGTAGTGTTGATTATTAATGGAAAAAAAAATTCTTCATTCATAGACAGTATTGTAAAACAAACATTTGAAACGGATTCAAATGATCTTTTCTTCTCTTCTTTTGCGAAATTCCAGAGTACTGAACTATTAGTAACAATGAAATACATGTCTTATGTTCGTTTCAGAACTGAAATTTGTAAGTTCTAGTAGAAATTTTCAATTGCACGGATTGACGCTTATTTTCTCAGTTGACGTTTCGCAAGGAATGGTGACATTTCGTAGGGAAATCGAACATAAAAGGTGTACCCAAAGTCTCTTCCACTTAAGAAATGCGAATTACTCTATTATTAATAAAGTTTGATTGAAGAGTTCTTTTTTATTTTAAAAAGGAGACTAGTAAGTTTTTATTTATTAAGACAAAGTTCATAGATAGAGTTCACAGATATTACTTTTTAACTTCAAAACAAAAGTTTAGACATTTCACAATTTCTGAAAAAGCATTAAAAGACTCAGTATTTTACTGTTGTTTTTTGTAGACGTTTGATTTAAGATGTCTCCAAATACATGACTTCAATGGCGTGAGGTGTAGCAATTCAGAGTCTATAAACATGGTTCACCTCTTCCGTTTCATTTGTCGTCGAACATTCTATTTTTTCCCATGTCCAACAATTTAAAGGAACGTGCCTATAAATTTATCTTTCTAGAAAATGGCACTTTCTGTCATCGGATAGCTGAATGAAGATGCTTTTTCATTCAAAAATTTGATGACACATGATATGGAACAGGTAGATCATGTTTATGGGCTCCTGAATCACTAGCAGACATTGGACCAGTATCCGTACAGTAAGTACAAGTACAAACATTGTTTACTTAAAAATTTTACTTTGCACTTTTACTTAAGTACATCTACTTAAGTCCAAATGTAATCAGTACACGTACTACTGTCTGTTAAAAAAAAAAGTGGTCTCGGCCATTTTTCAAATAACTTGAGAACAGAAGTAGCTAGCGAGCTGCGGTTTTCACCATTTTGTAGAGCCTTAGTTACTCTATCGATTCCTATATGAGGCATTAAAAAACTAAGATTTCCACGTTGTTTGCTAAATGAATGTTTAAAAGGTTCGAATCCCATTCTTTTAAATTCTATAGTGAACTCTATATTGAAAAGTACTAAAATATAGCCTAGGATGGCCTCTACATGTCTACTCAAGGCTAACATCTATATCTCTTAAGAATCTCAAATGGTCATTATTTTCCCAAAAGTGGTGTTGGTGGTTATTCTTCATTATTCCTTATTCTCAATAAAGCATTCAAAACTTAGGTAAAATGATATGGACGTTCCACATAATTTTCGGATTTCAAAAATGACGAGAAAAGTGCATATATTTTTACCTAAGTTTCAATGCTTTCTTGAGAATAAGGAACAATGAAGAATAACCACCAACACCACTTTTGGGAAAATGATGACCATTTGAGATCCTTAAGAAAGATAGATGTTAGCCTTGAGTAGACTTGTAGAGGCCACCCTAGACTATATTTTAGTACTTTTCAATATAGAGTTCACTATAGAATTTAAGATATAGAATTCACTATAGAATTTAAGAGAATGGGATTCGAACCTTTTAAACATTCATTTAGCAAACACCGTGGAAATCTTAGTTTTTAATGCCTTATGTAGAAATCGATAGAGTAGCTAAGGCTCTACAAAATGGCGAAAACCACAGCTCGCTAGCTACTTCTGTTCTCAAATTATTTGAAAAATGGCCGAGACCACTTTGTTTTTTAACAGACAATAGTTGAAAGACATTATGTAGCACAATATTAAAAAAACAAGTCTATGAAAACACTTTCTTTACTGTTAGAACTTATTAAATGAACAGCTTTACATGAACCCTTTACCCCCGACAATCGTTTCAGTAGAGACACTAATAAAACAATTAATGAAATGGAGTACTGTTACCTTTAGTAGGCCAATAGTGTCATCAGATTGGCCAGGATCCCTTACATATACGCATGGTGATTTGGCAAGTCCAGTTGCCATCGGGGGATAACGACATGAAAACCACTCTTTTAGTTTTTTGAAAATAGTTTATTGATTTTGCAAAAAATATCATATATTGTTGTATTCAAACAATGCAAACAAGAAAAAACTAACATATAAAACATATTCTTCCATTTCCTACGACACATGAGCATCTGAAGCAAGTTTATATGCAGATAATCTCTGATCTTCTCGAAATAACTAAGCCGATAAGTAAAGAGCATAATTATTGATACGCTGTTCTTCAACTTCAAATATAATAAGATCTGAAAAAATTACAGTGTGAGTATTGATGTTGGTCTATGTGTGGTTTGAGTATGTTCTTGCCCAATTTCGACGCTTACACCTTTATAAATAATGACAGTCTGTTTACCTATTTGTGTGTCAACGCAAAAAATTATCGCATTTAGACAAGAATTTCTGAAACCGTTTTTATGTTCTCATCCCTCAATGGCAACTAGGCTTGCCATTGTATGTAGCCCAACCTAATGTTCGACTAATTTTTTTGAGGACTTCGAAAAATATTTCGTTCAACAGCAGCAACTTTCGGCAACATCTATCACATAAAATATCAACAAGATATACATTGCTTATAAATAAAAACAACAAAACAGGAACGAAGGGCCCTTTTTTAAATAATTGTCTGTTCTTCTCTTTTGTAAGCCTTACGTCTTGGAAACAGAACCATGATTAAAGATTCTTTTTTTTTGCCAATCGGCAGCTTAGGGAGTTTCCTACAGAAAATATGCAAGAAGATTCTTAATACTTTAGGTGCTAAATTTTCTACCGTGTTTCTAAAAATGGTAATTCCAATTGCCAATGGGGGGTAAAGGGTTAAGCTGTCTTTTATCGGAAATAGATAATTTTCGAACATGTTCTGATCGTAACACGATAATCTTCTATTCATTATCGATATTTTTAAAATTATATCCAAAATTTTCGTAGAGCAACACATGTCTAGTTTCACACAACAAGTACCTTCCTGTGAAGATTAATTATATGTCAATAGATTTTCCAAACATATCGTAAACAACAAACTAAAATTCTATTTTAATAAAAGATGAATACAGTCTAGAATGTCCTTTTAAAAATGTCCTCGGACGAAATGTCCTCGGATTTCGTCCTCAGAAAAAATGTCCTCCAGATTTTTGTCCTTAAAAAAATGTCCCTAAGAAAAATGTCTCTCAATAAAAAATGTCCCTCACTTTCTTGCCAAGATGTTAAAATAAAATTAGTCCAGTATCTAGATGTCACTGTAGTTAACACATATCATACTGGAGATTTATATTAATTGCATAGAGGTTTATCTCAAAATGTAATGATTGAAGTAAGAAAAAAAAATGTTCTAGTACAATTAGTTATACCTATAACAAATTTACAAACAAGCACAACAATTATTTTTAAATGAAATCGTGTGATTCAATATCAACTGATGAAACATCATCATCATCTTTTTCTTCAAAATCAATAAATTCCTTATCATCATTATCATCATCTTCATCGTCAAAATCAACTGAATCATCATCTTCATCATCAAAACCAACTGAATCATCATCTTCATTGTTATCAATTTCACCTAAACCAACAATTACAAAAACAACATCAAATAAACGAAAAACTATGTTAACTATCAATGGTTATCAATTTCAGCTGAAAAATTTTAATAAAAATAAAACGATTAAATTTTGGCGTTGTGGTAATAGAAGTTGTGGTGTACTTTTACACACGAATCTTAATGATGAATTTGTGCGTTTTTCTGGAAAAACAACTCAACATTCTCATTTACCAAATCCTGCCGAATTGGAAATACGAAATCTTAAAGAAGTAATGCGACTAAGAGCTGAAAATGAATTAACACCATTACAAGAAATTGCTGAACAAGAAGTACGAAAAGGTTTATTGACAGGTGAAGCTCTTGCTGTTTTACCAAATATAACTAATATTGGTATGATACTAATATTTCTATATGTAACATTAACAAATATTTTTTGCTTTTCTTTACTCTTTTCTTAGGTCATTCTTTGGTACATATACGTCGAAAACTGATTCCTCCTATTCCATATTCATCGTCTTTTACCATTCCGGATGTTTACATGAACGATTATCACAATCATCATCGTTTATTATTACATGATAGTGATAATCCAAAATTCTCATTCGATCAATCAGAAAATATACCACCTTCAGGAAGAATTTTAATTTGGTCCTCAGATGTTCAACTAAAGTTGTTATTTAATAGTGAACGATTACATATGGATGGCACTTTTTCAAGTGCTCCACCGAATTTTGACCAAGTCTTTGTAATTCAAGCTATTCATCATGAAACATGTAAGCTATGTCTACTAATTAAAATATTAGAAATTCGAGTTTGTTTCATATTGATAAATTTTTTTATCTTCGCAACAGGCGTGCCAGTTGTTTATGCACTTCTTCCTAATCGTAAAGCTACAACATATATATATTTATTCAATGTTTTATTTGTTGAAGCAAAAAAATTGAACAAGATATTCAATCCGTCCATCATTATGACAGATTTTGAACCTGGTCTTTCGAAAGCGATTTCAGTTGAGGTATCCTTATCTTCTAAATTATCGAATCATTATCCCTAGAATATGTATATCTTTTATTTAAAGTTTACAGAAGAAACAATTCAAAAAGGATGTTTTTTCCACTTCTCTCAATCAGTATATAGACAAGTTCAATCAGCTGGTTTATCATCAACATATTTAAATAATATTATGGTACGTAGTGCTATCAGACAATTGATGGCACTTGCATTAGTACCCGAATCATATGTTCCTATATTATTTACTAATGTCGGTCAAGAACTAACCGATGATGAACGTGATGAAATACAAGATTTATTAGAATATTTTAACAGTTATTGGATGCGAAAAATATCAACATGGAATGTTTTCAATATTCCTGATCGCACTAACAATTATAGTGAAGGTATGTACAGTCGAAGTAATAGTTTTAACAACTATAGAGTGGTATCGTTTTAGGTTATAATCACAGATTTAAAAGACGTTTACAAAAGTCTCATCCGAATATATGGTTTTTTATGGAATCAATTAAAAAAGAAATAAATACAATTCATGATTTAATTTTACAAATTGACACTGGGATGCAACCTCGTTCAAAGCGATCTCGATCTAAAATTGCTGAACAACGAATGAAAGAATTATATGATCGGTTTAATAATAACAAAATCACAGCACAAGATTTATTACGTGGACTTTCCTTTTCAGTTGCGAACGAAAAATAAAATAAAAATTGATTCACTATTATAAATAAAATTAATTTTATCTATATTATTCTAAACTGTTTTTGAAATTTTACTGAAAGGACATTTTTTATATGGAAGACATTTTTTATATGGAGGACATTTTTTAAAGAACATTTTACTAGGGACATTTCGTCCGAAGGACATTTTTTCTGAGGACGAAATCCGAGGACATTTCGTCCGAGGACATTTTTTTAAAGGACGTTTTAGACTGTTACCTAAAAGATAGTGTTATTTTTATTGAAAATACTGTAAATGAGTACAAGAATATATTTGAAATGATCTTTTCATTATATTAGTTTAATATTTGGAGATGAAGGTCCACAAAATAGTTTGATGTAATAAATCTTCATCTTTTATTTTCACTATTATTACAAACATGACCAAAAAGGAGTCCATAATTAATGAAGAGTGTTCCAAATGCGAAATTAAATAATGTGTAGTCACAATAAGTACTTTCATAATAAGGATAATAATATTGAACCTTTCCTTTAGCTCGAAAAATCCAAACACTTCCCTAAATAATGAACAAGATTTACACCGTGCATTTTTAAGAATTTACAATAAACTTAAACTCACAGTTATAAACCAAGCAAGACAAAATAGTCCTGATAGAATTTGTAAAATACTCCAGAATGTTGACTTTTCATAGAAAAACTAAGAAAAGAGAAACAATACAATATGAAAACATCATCACCTATCCGAACATTATTATTTTGAGTCAAATATAGGACTTTTAAAAAGAATATTACCTTTATGCATGTAATGATTAGTAGAACCAATGTAGCGAAACCGGCGACAATAAGATAGATTGGAATTAAATGATTTATAGGACATGAATTCTTATGTGAAAATCCAATAATCACCTGAGCTATTGGTACTGCAAAAATTAGAGCAAGTAATACAAAAAGGACGATGAACACAAGTACTGTAATGAATGCATTCTTGGAATTTCGTTTAACGTACTGGACAGCACGTTCTATCTTAGTTGATGAAGCATCAGAAGTCATATCGGATTGTTGAATTGTCGGGACTTTTTCGACATCATATTTGCTTGACATAGTAATCTGTTAATTGTGTGATTACTTTTTTTTCGATGATGTCTCTTCTATGTTTTATATGAAGAGAATTTATCTTTGCTTTATATTTGTCCTTGGTATACTGATAACTTTCATGATTTATTTTTCTTCTTTTTCAAAAAAAAAACAAAATTCTGATGTGAAAACGATGTTTGGACGTCATATGGTTATGATAAAGTGCAAAAAAAAAAGATGTATCGTTAGTAAAAGAAAATGCTTTAGAATGTGAAAACAATGACGAAAACAAAATAAAAAAAATTACATTACATAGGAGATAACATCAGCCTTCTAGTTTTATTACGTGTTCTGCAATCTACATGATTCATAATGATCAAGAATATAGATAATAATATGTTAAATAACAAACTAAAAACAAATGATGAAAATGAAGACGCACTGAGTTTAAAGTTTGAGTGCGTCCAAGGGGCAAATTTGCAACTTAAAAAACTCTTCAAAAGATCAATCGAAAGTAACATCATGAGATTTTATGTTTTGTTTTTCGACATGCCTATTGTTTACTATGGTTGAAATGATTACATTTAGTTTTACATGATGATTTTTTTTTCCATAACCTTTTCAAAAAACTCTACTATCAAGAATTCTTAAATCGGATGAAGGTATTATAAATAAATTCTGATCTCTTTAATATAATGTCTGGAGTTTTCGTAATAGAAAATATGCCTCCTCGATAGTTCAATTTGACTTTCGTAATCATGTGATACGGGAATATTATTACAAAAATTCCGAGAATCTCAGAAATTTCTACAACCCGAAGTTCGCTATTTTCTTCTTGTTTTAGTCATGAACTCATTTTTTTATTTAAAAATGTGATACTTAAATTTCTGTCATTTACAAGCATAATTATTAAATTAAATGCTTATCTAGATATATCATGTTTATGATCACGAAAAAAAACGTCTCGTTAATCATAATCGCACAGGCCATGACCACAAACTAACTTCTCACCCAATCTACGAATCTG